GAAGGCAGACGCTTAACGACTGAGCCACCCAGGCGCCCCTAGTAGCCTCCTATTGACCAGAAGCCTTACTGATAACATAAACAGTCAATTAACACATTTTTACGTTATATGTATTATATATTGTATTCTTAAAATAAGCCAGAGAAAATAAAATGTTATTAAGAAAATCATAAGAATACCTTTGTAGTACTGCACTGTATTTATAAAAATCCATGTGTAAGTGGACCCATGCAGTTCTAATTTGTGGTGTTGAAGGATCAGGTGTATTTTGCTTTTTGCTTTCTACCATGCTATACATTGGCCATTACAGAAGTATGATTGTAGAATTTGCTGTGCCAATCAATACCCAATTGTCTATTAAAATTGCAAATTTGCTTTTTTGTTTCAATATTGAGGGGTTAACTGATTTATTGTTCTCAAAGACATAATATTTTGATATACTTTGAATATTATGGGTAATACAACCTGTTGATTTTTAAGAAATTCCTAACTTGTAAGGAATTATATTTCAAATTACTATTGCTTCTTATAATACATAATCTAAGATGGAAATGGTAGAATGCTTCATTTTGCTTTTCAATATATTCCCTTTTTTTCCAGTGTTTATCCGACATACGATTTTGCCTGCCCCATAGTTGACAGTATTGAAGGTGTTACACATGCCCTGAGAACAACAGAATACCATGACAGAGATGAACAGTTTTATTGGATTATTGAAGCCTTAGGCATAAGAAAACCATATATTTGGGAATATAGTCGACTAAATCTCAACAACACAGTGCTCTCCAAAAGAAAACTCACATGGTTTGTCAACGAAGGATTGGTAGATGGATGGTATGTTTACTGTTACCTAGAATTGAGAGGAGGAAGTAAGAACATGGTCTATCAGTGATTTTAAAACTGTTTTGAGGGGTGGGGGTAGGGGGTGAATGGGAAGAGGTGGAATGGGTAGGCCTCTAGGGTTTCTAGTCCTTTATTTCATCTAGCACATCAAGACCCCCTACCTCTCCCCTTTATTTTAGTGCTACAAACATGGAGTACCCATTTGGACCCTGGTGCATGGGAATGCAAAACACACAAGGGTGTATTCTCTGCAGATCTTAGCATTTTATAGAAAAGTAGCTGTGACTCTGTCCTTTGTATATCTGGTTACCATTCTCCACACTCTGCTGAGGCTCTGAGGCTTTTCTTTTCAGGTGGGTCCCAGGAAGGCCAAAAATGCCCTGAGTTGAGGTGAGGACGTAAATGGTCTCTGCCTTGGTGTTGAAGACCCATCCTGTGGAGCTGTTGGTTTCCCAAAGGACTCAGCACCTAGGAAAAGTTTGCAAATCTCTGTAGCATATTAATAACCTATACAGGATTTCTATGAGAAAGTGGAGTATAAAAATTAAAGTCATCTTGTAGCTATATATCTGTGTAAATGAAACCTGTTCAGATGCGTTACCATGCTGATAAGTCTAAGAATATTTTTTATCCGAATTAACAGGAATGTATATTAGTTTCTATTAGCATCACATAATAGTGACAATATTAAGTATATGTTGAATAATATGTATTTTATACTGGTTTATTGTAGAGCCGAATCTGATAAAAGGCAAGTTTATCTTGGGCTCCCGGCAGAGAGTTTTATTGCAAACTTAACTAAAGTTTGCAAATTTCTGCAGAATATTAATAAACAATGTATATATTTTTTACAACCCAAAGGACTTTGTGAAGTGTATTCATACATGGATGACATGATACCATCTCTTATCTGATTCTCATGGTCGTATATAGAATAGGGACCTTGAATATTTGTTAAATTAAAAGCAAATAAGAATGTTCTAATGCATGGGTTTTCCATATTTGAAGATGTCACCTCTGTCTTTTTTGAAATGTGTTTTACTATTTCTAGTAGTGCATTTATTTTACTGAGCAGTATTTGACTAGTAAGCAGTTTTCCTCTTCCATGAATGTGGGCTCACCTGGTATTTGATCTACCCAGTTATTATATAAACAACTCAGTCCAAATATTTCACAAGCTGACTATAATTTATTATTCATTAAGGTATTTTGTACTGCTTGTGTTTGTACATTAAAAAGATCTCCTTGGCACTTACAAATTTCCCTATTTCCCAGGGATGACCCAAGGTTTCCTACTGTTCGTGGTGTGCTCAGAAGAGGGATGACTGTTGAAGGGCTGAAACAGTTTATTGCTGCTCAGGTGACCTACACTTTGTTTTCCAGGTTCTCTGTTTTAGTTTTCAAGTGTCTTATTAATATCCTTTTAGTCTCTATTATTCCTGTTTGTTCTATTCCTTGTTCCTTATAACACAAGGGCAGATTTTTTTTTTTTATAAGGAGTATGTTTATAATAGTGGAAAATTGAGAATGTCCTACTCTTGTAAGCTGAAGTGGAACAAAGGCAGCCTGTAGTATTTTTATATAGTGAAATATATGGCTCTTGACTGGCTGTTCAGGGTAACCAAATTGTTTGTGCATACTAGGTTTCATATTCCAGTGGAAGTAAACTTGCAAGTATTTATTGGGTTTATTTTTTTTATAACATGCTTAGCTTAAATGAAATACTCTAATGAATACTTTTTTCCTTTTAAGTCATTTTATTATTGATTTTCTAGGGCTCTTCACGTTCAGTTGTGAACATGGAATGGGACAAAATTTGGGCATTTAATAAAAAGGTACACGTTTTGACTCTTGGTCCTCCTTTCTTGTGCCTAATTTCTGAATAATATGATATGTGTAGAATTCGTTAGTGTGTTCATTGTAGAGAAAATTTTGTGAAGAATGTTACCATTTTGCAGACCTTCAGGAAAATGGAATGTTTTCCTTTCTTAAACCTATAAAGAGCATTAAGCTTGTTAGCTATACCAAACAAGTCACAATGATTAAAACAAATTAACTTGGAGTTAATGGGGAGTGGTAACAGTTTTTTCCTTAAATCTTTTATGAACATTGCATTTCATTTTTCTGCTTTCAAGCTGCGAGCTCTCTGTAAGAAGGTATTACTTAACGCTTTTATTTGCCTTACTTAGCACATAGCTTTTAGCATATTACATGTTATAACCCGAGATGTTATACAGCTTTGAAGCACAATCACATTTATATAAAAGACTTGCTTATACAAATCCACTGAAAATGCATTATTCCTAGTTTTAAGAAACATGTCCTCTAGTTTTCTTTGTGGCAAGGGGAAGATTTGGCTAACTTCATTCCACTGTTCCCTTGTGTGCTGAGAGGACAGAGTTTGAAAGTTGTATGTTTCACCGAGTTGTATAGAAGGTTCACTAATTTTAATTCCTTTGTCTTATTGAATCTAGCTTTTTTTTTAACGGTTTCTTAAATGAAAGTCAAATAAGGAATACTGCATATTGACATTGTTAATTACCAATTGGAAGCAGATGCTTAGACACTATAATAAGGCAAATCATTAAGATGCCATGTTTTAAACTATAGTTTCTGTGATTGTGTTCTGTACTTTTTTTTTCTTATTGCTGCTTGATTGTGCTGATGCCTTGCCTCAAGAAATACTTGCTTGTCTCGCATGTGTCTTGAATTTGTTTTTTTCAGTCTTGTGTGTTTTTGATACATAAAGGAATTAATTGGTTCTTTCTGTTGCTGCAGTTACTAATAATAAATACAAGTAGAATTTACAGGCAAAGTTAATTTGGTGTACTTTTCATTAATAACCCAAATTTTAAAGGTTTTAAATTTTAATAAAGTTATACATGTGCATTTGGTTCAAATACATGAACTATATTTCACCATGGTCAGAGAGTTCTGTAGGGTCTGTTAAGGTGAGCAGCATATTCCCCTCTTCTTTCCTCCCATTTTCTCCCCCTAGAGAAATCACTTTCAGCTCTTTTAGATCATTCTTTTGGTATTTTTATTGCCTGTGTCTCTAAATAAGATGTGTGTTGCTACTTCTTGATTTTTTTTTTTTTTTAAGTTTCAAGCATTCTCATTTGACTCCCACAATGGAAAGAGGGGACATGGGTCTCTTACTTTTTCTCAGACCCTGTTGGTTTTCTTGTAGTTGATTGTTTTCCCTCATTTGTTTAGTTTTCTAATTCCGTCTTCAGCTCTCCTCGAGATGTCTGAATTTCCTACCAAGATGTTCTTGTGCCTCAGTATTCTTTCAGTTTCATCGTGGAGAGAGCTCTGCCAGAGCCTTCTGCGCTGCTCTGTGCTGATCTGGATTAGAGGCCCGTTAGCTTCTGAAGCTCAGCAGTTTTCTGAGGTCAGCCAGCATCGTCCTGGGATCCCGTTTGCTTTTGTTCTGTGATGGATCACCTGGTTCTTGGATCTCTTTTTATGTTTCTCTTACTTGGCTGTGCTCTGTCCTTTGGTAGCTCCCTGAGAAGGGGGCAAGGGATGAAGATTTTTGAGACCTTGTGTATGACCTTTTTCACTCTGAAATTGCATGATGATGTGCTGTGGTGGGGCTCTGTTTTCATCCTTACCCGCTCGAAGAACATGTGGCTTCTGGTCTGGAAACTCATTCCTTCAGTTCTGGGAAATTTTCTTGAATCCTTTCTTTGTTTTTTCTCTACTTTGTTTTCTTCTCCCTGGAACTCCTCTTTAGCAGATGTTGGACTGGTCCTCCAATTTTATTTTCTCTCATTTTCCATCTCATGTTTTGGATTTGCTTTGTGCTAGATTGACTCAACTTTATCTTCCCACCCTCCCATTGAGTTTTTCATTTATGTATCATATTTCCAAGATTTCTTTTATGTTCTCTGAATTAAAAAAAAAAAAACTTCTTGTTCCTGTTTCATGCTTAGAATACTAACATCAATAGGAATTTTATCTTGTGGTATCTCTTTCCTGCAGATTATTTTGGCTTTTTGTTTCATATTAAAGGCATATTAAAGACATCTCAGAGGTCTGGGGATAGTCTTGGTTATCTGCTCATGTTTAACATGGAGGACTAAAGGAGCAGTTAGAAGCCCCATAAGAAAGAGTTGGACTTGTCATCTGAGCCTCACTGTAGGATGACCTGGTTGAGTCAGTTAGTTGGAGAACCTCTATGTCAGTAATTTTATCTCTTATCTCTTGGGTTAGGCAGTTTTCCCAGAGGAGTTTCTTTTAATTACCTGCCTGAAGTATGAAGGCTTGGCTGCCAGAGCTTTGGAGCTGGACAGAGGAAGACTGAGGGCCTTTCTATCTAGTATTATGCATTCACTTAATTCCCTCATCTCTTTGTGCAGTACCCTCACCTTCAGCTCCTCCTGATACCTGCCAGGATCTAGGCCCCCTCCTCCTTGCAGAGTAAACTTCCCTTCTGCAGTGGGGATGGGGGAGGGGCAGTTGCCTCATTTATGGAGCAGAGAAGGGGATGTTTCCAGGATTTTGTTGTTGTTGTCTCCTCTTTGATTACACTGATTTTTCTGGGTTTGTGCTTTTAAACAAACAAAAAAAATCCTTTATGTCTTTTTAGAGGGTATGTGGGAGGGAGAGAAAGTAGATGAGTATTCTTCAGCAGCTTTGTTTATCCATACATCTGTGGCACCTCTAATCATTAAGCACCATGTTGAAAACAGCACAATTAAAACATTTTGATTGGTAGTAAAAATGAAGTTATTCTAATGACATACCTTTTTGTTTTTATTGCTGGCTTTCCTCACCTCTTCCTGTACTTCCTTCACTTTGCCACTCTTTCTGCCCCTTGAGGTACAGATCTCTTATTTAGGTTTCATGTTCCATTCAGTCTGATTATTGCTTTGTTATTTTGTAGTTTGCTCTATCTTTCTTTCCAAGCTCTGTGAATAAAATGTAAGTGAAGCATCACTGAACTAAATTTAACGCCGTGGCACTGTGAAGCAGTCATTAAGGACGGAGATAAAATGTTATTCTTTGGACACTCTCCCACTCTTAGTAAGTTAGCATCTTTGTTAAAGTATCTTCTGGTAAAGGACAAGAGGATTAACTCTGGATTAGCTGGAACTCTTTTAAGTACATGCTCCTTTGGAGAAAGAGCTTTGTTTACAGAGTAGAGCATATGTGGCAAAGAAAAGGGGAGAAATGGATGGAGCGGACAGTGAGATGTGGGGTGGGTAATGATCTCAATATCCCTCTGAAAATACTATAACGCATGTTTTCTTAGCCCGACTTTTCATGTTGGTAGGAAACTAATACATCATTTTTCTGAATCATAATTAAATAGAAGCTATCTGGTTCCATTAAATAATCTACCTTGATACTGATAGGAGACATTTCACTAGCTTACTCTTTATTAACCTCTCTAATTTTCTACTTGGTTTTATGGAACTGTTAAGATTTGAACTCTTCAGTCCAGGCAGAGAAGTCATAGCTTTAAGGTGTTCATTTCAGAGTAATACTTGCTTACATCAACCTTCCTTTACTGCTTTAATTTTAAAATCTGTGTTAGTATTTTAGTGGCATGATAATATAATAGTTTTTCCCCCAAATCTCATCCCAACCCTCTTGCCTCTGCCCCTACCTAGTAAATTAAAAGTATGTAGAGACTTCTCTCTTTGACCCCAAATAAGGAAAGTCTTCCTTCAAACGAAAAATTTTCAAGTAAACCCCAGTACATAAAAGGGTAGCTGTTCTGGTGGGAGTGTGTTAAGGGTTCTGGAGTCTTCTCAGTCCCAGGCCTGTCCTTCCCCCATTGGGTGGTGTCTGCCAGGGCAACCCCTTGAAATCCCTGGGACCATTTGGAGTAATTTGATCCAGAAATATTTAGAATTAGTATAATTTTAGAGCTGAAAAAGACTTTTTTTTTTTATTTAAAGATTTTTATTTATTTATATAACAGAGAGAGAGAGCACAAGTAGGCAGAGCGGCAGACAGAGGGAGAGGGAGAAGCAGGCTTCCCACCGAGCAGGGAGCCCGATGCGGGGCTTGATCCCAGGACCCTAGGATCATGACCTGAGCCGAAGGCAGCGACTTAACGACTGAGCCACCCAGGCGCCCCTGAAAAAGACTTTTAATCCAAGATTTCCCAGACTTGACTGTTCGTGACTATCCTGTGGAATGCTTGTTAAAAATAGATTTCTAGACTTTACTCCAGACTAATATTACGTTCATTATCCTGTAGGATTAAGTGGCCTGAGAAGCTGTGCTAGCCACTGCTCTAAGTGATCATTATAAATAGTTAGGTGTGAGAAACCTTCTCCTCCTCTTGTCAGTTGAGGAAACTGAGCTGCAGTGAACTGGAGTAAGTTTCTCAGGCCGGCTTGTTTAGTTTTAGCTTCTTTAAAGAAATTATATCTTCCTGGCTTAAATACTGCACTGAGGAATCACAAATTAAGTCTTTGATCATTTTAGCCCAATTGAAGCTGAAAGGAGGAAACTTTTACTAGTAAGAATGACCTTTAAGCTAATTCAAGGGAAGGAAAGAATGGAATAATAAATATAGAGAGAGGCTGGCCCTGATTTACTACCAACATGAAATATTAGCCATGAGAAGTAGCAGACACAGGGAAGTTAAAGAGCTTTTCAAGCTTTTTTTATGAGTGACTCTCTGCGTCACTCAGAATTTTCATATCATTCTTTTCAGAAGCTGAAAAATAATCTCAAAGCAAACAAACAAAAAACAACCAAACAGTGGTAACAACGAGATAATACAAAACAAAACAAACGTAGCCAAATTTAATTAGCCATACCACTATTTCCTACATCCAACTTAGCTGTTTATACATATGCCTCTATCTACATTTTTCTTTCATATGTTTTATTTAGTATCTAAACACTGCTGTTGTGTGTGGTCATCATGGATAATTTTAAATTGAACAGCGAAGTGAGGAAAATACATCAGATTCAGAAGGGCATGCTACTGCTGTTCTGGAGATGGAGTTAGGTTAGAGCACAGCGAGTAGGACCATTCATTCAGTGAATCTGCAAATGTTTGTTGATCACCTGTGTGTGCCAGGCCCTTGCTAAGTACTGGGAACACAGTGGTCCCTATATACGTAGCTTGCAGACCAGTAGAAATGTCTTGTTTATACTATGAGTTTATAGAATTGCCTTATTATAGTGACCTAATGCTTTGCTTTTGATGGTGATGTGTTGCCTAACACTGATTAAAAATGATGCTAAAATACAGTATCTATATTCTTTGAAACGGACTTCTCCAACAATACAAAATGACATATCACTTACCTATAGGATTGATCTATAACCCTGCAGCACGATTTTTCCTCACCTTCTAATACCAGAGTTAAAAGTTTTTTTCAAAAGTAATATTTTGCTTTAACTAATTGGTTTCTTTTCACCTGTCAGTAGTTATTCTTGGGAAGGAACTCTAAATTTCATGTAGTTTTCGATTATGATTGTTTTCTTTTTTTCTACTGGACATTTAAATATTAGAGGAGATTTAGCAGGTAAACCAAAAAATTAGTAAATGCAGTAACAAAGAAAGCCAGTTAGTATTCCTGTGCTATTATTTATTTTACTTACGAAGTTTTAAAAATATCTGAATGTTTTAACACGAGGATGCATTTGTTGCAGGTTATTGACCCGGTGGCCCCACGATATGTTGCATTACTGAAGAAAGAAGTGATTCCAGTGAATATCCCTGAGGCTCAGGAGGAGATGAAAGAAGTAGCCAAACACCCAAAGGTCACCCGACACTTTCACCAGTGTTATTCTTAGAAGGAGCAAGACACTAAAAGGGAAAATGTGGTTTGGGGCAATAGCATGGTTTTGAGATCGTTTTTTATTCAACATTATTTGTCAGGATTTTGATACTAATTAAGGGTTTCTTGCTGAAGCAATTTATTCTAGTAATAATCCACACCACATCTCAGAACTTTTACACTCTGTGCCTATTTTTTTTTATTCTGTAGAGATATCCTATAAGAAAAGTTTATCTTTTCCTGGAGTCATTTTGAAAGATGATACTATAATTCATGCTCTTTATGGGGAAGCTGAGGTGCATTCTCTGTTAACTGGGTTATTCATTGTTGCCTTTGTCTTTAAGCCAAAACATTAGACCTAGTAATGTTGAATCACAATTTTTTTTTTTTAAATAAGCTTCATGCCCAGTGTGGGGCTTGAACTCATGACCCTGAGATCAAGAGTCACACGCTATACTGATTGAGCCAGCCAGGTGCCCTTTGAATAACAGTTTTCGTCTAGAATCTATCACATTGCCATTTAGTCTGTTTTAGAGAATATCAGTGAAGTGAGGATGAAATCTGTTCATCTAAATTCAGAATATAAATCTTAGATACAGATAGTAGGGAATTCCTCTTAGTTAAACCAAAGTTGTTGTATTAGTTATGACTGCTTGATTGACAACTTTGAAGCAAAAATAGATCCTTTTATTCCAGCTTTGTGGTTGTCTATAAATACCTTCATTGTATAATGGAGATTCATAGACTAACTCACCCATACAATAGGCTAGTATACTCATAACCTTACTCATAACTATGGTATGTTCACAGACTAAGTCACATATAAAATAATATGCATCTAAGTTGTAGCCTTATGTGATTGCCTTTCTATAAGACATTGGCTGTTTTTAACTTTAAAGGTTTGAGTTGTTTTAAGGGGACTCCTAATAAGATTTGAAAAGAGTATGTATCTATGATTGATTTGGCTTTGCCTTTATCTTACATCTGATTGGTTCAACCAGGTGATGGTGCTATCTATGTATCATGTCACCCACTACAGTTAGCGTAATTGTGAAGCTTACTGAATGCTTTGAAACTTGAATGGCGAGGATAAAATGTTCTAAGGTGCTTACTTGTTAAAGTGATAGCTGTGTTCAGATAGCTTAGTTAATAGTTACACGAGTAATAAAGGATAAGTAGTAAAGGACCAATTGATTTGGAGACACTCTTTCAGTGATAACTGGATTGCTCAGTGTGATCTTTGGAATCTTTGTTACCATTTTCCTCACAAAGTGTTGTAGATTTAGCCCGTTAGCGTTCTTTTCTGAGCCCAGCAGAATATAGGTCGATACAGCATACTAATTTTTCTCAAATGCATTGGTACATTTATTGAACAGTTACTAAACACATGCTGTGTAACATTTATTTCAAAAAATCTTAGACTTCTTTTCAAGTCCGTCAAACAAAAACTGAAAGTTAACACACCGTTCTTTTTATTCTCCAGATCTTTTTTCTTCTTTATGTAATATACAATGAAAAGAGAAAATTTATCTGTCTATACAAATATGACACTCTTCGTCTTCTAAAAGATGAAAGGTCCACCATTTCCTGCTGTGGTGACCTCTGTTGTCCTGTAATGTTCTACAGCCACTGATGAGGAGTGACTTCCTTTTCTCCTTTGCTGCCAAGCATTAGTGACATTCTGAGGAGAGCAAAGCAGATTCTGGTTGGAGGGACACCAAAGACAAATACTGTCTTAGCTCTGAAAACAAAGAATCTTAGGCTGGAAGTAATTTTAGGGACAGCTCAACAGCTCACTTCATCTGACTCCCATTAGCATTATTGGTCAGGTGACTGACCACCTGTCACAGAGCCGGGGTTCAACACGTTTGGTTAAAGAATGAAATGAATGAATATATAAATTTGTATGCTGCATTCAATAAGCTGTTTCAATCAACATTCTCTCTCTCTCTTTTTTTTTAATCATCAGAATCCTGATGTTGGCTTGAAGCCGGTGTGGTACAGTCCTAAAGTTTTCATTGAAGGGGCTGATGCAGAGACATTGTCAGAAGGGGAGATGGTTACCTTTATAAATTGGGGCAACATCAACATTACTAAAATAAACAAGTAAGAACTTTTCATCTGTTTTTATTAAATATGGAAGGGAATTCTTGTTTATTCACTTACTAAAAATGACCAGATTTAGACTCATTCGTTTTTCCAACTGGTAAATCTGCTCAGGCGTAGAAACTGCCAATTCTGGACACACAGCAAATTTCTTTTCCGTATGTGTTCCAGTTTATTAATCTTGGGATATGTTTTGCTTGTGATGTTGCAAATTACTGTGTCTAGATGTAAAAAAAAAAAGTTCTAATGCTTACGGGTCCCTTTTTGTCATCTAATTCTCATTGTACAGTTGCCTGGGGAAGGGGTCCTTTGGACAGAATTTGTATATATAACATTCTTTATTCTAAAATTTGCTTTAAAATTGTTTTGTGATGAATATGAACTTTCTAGTTATTATAGTGTGCTACACTTGTTAGTTCTTAAGATCACATAAATGGAACATAGTATGCTAATAAAATTAATTTGTATAAACTCTGAAATCTGAATTGTCCAGTCATTACATATGATTTCAAGTAATTGTTAAATGTTTAAAAATACAGTACTTTACATTTTTTAATGTTTAATTCAGATGACTTTAAAATTTGTAAATATGTTCATGTTCTTCATCAGATGTGTGCATCTGTTCTCCAGTAGTTTATGTTTTATTCATCTCTTAACCAATATATGTCTGGAACATATTAGAAGTTCAAATAAATGTTTGCTTTGACATTTTTCCAAAGAAAATTCCTAGCCATTTATTACAAATGTAGGACAAATAATGCATTTATGACAATTATGGTTTTCTTTAAACACCTTTTGATCTTATATCTAGAAATGCAGATGGAAAAATTGTATCTCTTGATGCAAAATTGAATTTGGAGAACAAAGACTACAAGAAAACCACAAAGATCACGTGGCTGGCAGAGACGGCACATGCTCTTCCTATTCCTGCAATCTGTGTCACTTACGAGCACTTGATCACAAAGCCAGTGCTGGGAAAAGATGAGGACTTTAAGCAGTATGTCAACAAGAACAGTAAGGTAGCCTTCTAAAAGAAACCATGTTTCTTTTTTCCTTGTTATATAAACTTTTTTAGAATTTTAAAATTACTTTTAAGTATTTGGTTTTCAAGTAAAATGGAAAAGATCTGTAAAATTTTGTTAAAATGAAAAGATGTGTAAAAGAGTGATGTTTCCATTTTACTGAAGATTGGAGCTGAAACACAATGAAGTTAAGGAACTTGCTTATGCTTAAGTGCTGTGCTGCTATGCCTCTCAGCTAGGTCTCTCTGTGCTTTTCGCACTGCAGCTCATATTGGTGGTGGGAAACTCACTTATATGTGCAGGGATACCAATCATGTTGGTTAAAAGGTTTCCTGAAGTTCATCAGTTTGTCAATTTTAACTTTTAAAAATACTGTATATGTAATTGTTTACTTCTTTACTGTTTCACTGCATCTGCTTAAGTAGTAAAGTTTTTAACATATCTTTAAGAGTATTCCACCTTCTGGAAAGACAACTTATATTTTAGAGTTGTTTTCAGTGCTCTGATTTCTAAGCACAGGTGTATTTTGGTCTTTATCATCTTTACAGCATGAAGAGCTAATGCTGGGGGATCCCTGCCTTAAGGATTTGAAAAAAGGAGACATTATACAACTCCAGAGAAGAGGATTCTTCATATGTGATCAGCCGTATGAACCTGTTAGGTAAGTAAATGTCATTGAGCATTTAAATGAAAATGCTTAACATTCTTACAGTAAATAAGATTTAAAAATCACATTTCTACCAAAATTCTGTACCTGATAATTCTCTATTCAGTTTGATATTTGCCTTTTATATTTAATATTTCAAACTTTGTAGTAACAAGCAATAACTTTGAAACAGCATAATAACAAATTATTCATTTCTAAAATTAAACTGTCTTATAATTCATCTTCATGTAATCCAAGTAAAAGAAAAAAATTTCAGTATGTCTTTGGGTGAAAATTATTACTATTACCTTCTTCTTTATAGCGTATTTTCATTAGATTGTATTGTAGAATATAAATAATGCAGCAGGTACATTTAGAGGAAAATAGTAAATTGTATCTCAATAAAGCTATTATTTAAAAATGTTGAAGCAATATATAGGATCCTATTGTTACTAAATTCTTCTCTTTTTATTTTCACTTGAGCTTTTACTACAAAATTTGAAGAAATCATTTGCTCATGAATAGTCTCAGGGGCAGTGGATTTTGCTAAT